ACTCGCGAGGTTGGTCATAATATGACCTAGACGTGCTTTCTATCTGTTGCGATTCCGATGAAAAATTCTTATAAAAATAAATATAAATTGCATAAACGAAGGGTGAATGCAAAAGTCCTAGTAATTTTGCATTTTACAGGCTGCAGGCAAGTCTAAATTAGTAAATATGACCCTGAGTTGCAGATTTGTCTTTGCCTCGTCTGTCATTGGCGTCTTTGCTTTTTTTATCGCCATTGCGTTAGTAAGATGGTATTATTAAAATAGAATATAGACGATTTCTCAGACAAAGTCTTGACTATAACGATGCTGACAATGGACGTTAGATAAATATGCATTGTTCGCGACAGGAAGCTTGTCACCCGTTCTATCAGAATCGTCAACAACAGAGTATAACCGGTAGTATACATATACATGGTATAAACATTGTGCAAATATTAACGAAACGGTAGTAGTGTTAGCGTTTGAGCACTGGTCTTTCCGAAATTTCGAAAAACTGGGGTGATGAATCAAGGTACAAAGTAACCGTTTTATCAATTATTGGAAAATCAAGAAAAAAAAAAAAAAAAGAATTTCCCTTCCCGCTACATTAAGATCAATATGGCGTTGATTTAAAAAAATCCATAATTTTCAGTAATACTGACTTCAAAAATTATGATACAAAAATAATTACATTCATACCACAGACCAACGCCGTTTTTGTTTACTTTTCACAACTGTTACAAACTATTTCATTTCTGGTGGTTAAAATACCAGCTGATCGATCGTAGACCACAAGTCTTGAGTCGGTTTATGATCTAAATGAAGGCAGACGATTGCAAACAACTGCTGTCATGGCAAACGTTGCACGTCGTGAATGATTTTTTTTCACTGCATGCGAATTATTTTCCTTGATGCACTCAACAAAGTCAAAGCAGACGTACAGCATTCCTTGCAGAATGCGTGAAAAGTACTTCGCGTTCCACTCGCTTTGAAGCTGCCGCCTATGCTAATCAGCATAGTCGTCGGGATGAAGCCTTACAACTCCAAGATGGCGATAACGTAACACCGTATTAAATAGGCAGTCAAAACCAACGTGCACGTTACACTATTCAATTTTTCCAGCCAGCGGTGTGATGTGTCTAAAAACCGTAAACCATGTGTCATTTGTTTGGTCCCACAATTTCTATGTGCTTGCCGATCACCGAACAGTGCGGCATGTCGCCGGTACATAGTGTTTACACACTTTTTTTACTGTACCTTTTTTACCATTAAAAACTTATTTTTTTTATAAGGCCAGCGGTGAACATCGACCATAGGGATTTGCACTGTTCGACCAACCAACCAATAGGAATTGTGCTTTTCCAGAGTGACACTGCGATCCTGTCGCAGAGTGCAATAATCGACATTCGGACGAGTCGCACAATCGCATCGCAGAGTTAGTTTTTAGACTCCCATACATACATGGAATATCCCTGCGTGTGTAACGCATATAAATTTGATTGTTCAGGATTACTTCAAAGTTGATGTTCCTGTTGCTTTCTTAAAGCCCATAGAAATACGTGGTACAGTGGTGAGCTTCTTAGCAGTGTGGAACGTCTTGTGACGTAGCTCCACCCCCGAGGATACTAAATGGTTTACCTTTTGTAGTGTATGTAATGTACTAAGCTTTGCAGGTTCATCAAAACTAACAGCGCTTGGTTCCTCAGTCCTCTCAGGTGGTCGGGCTCCTGGTAATAGAGATGAAGGTTTTATATCTAAACTGGCCTGAAACAAACAAAAGAGAATATAATTTAAATAAGATATTCTACTTATATCAAAATATATGTGACATTATTTATTTATCTAGTCAGTATTTATCAGGATTTATCATGCATATTACCCATGCATACTATCATTTCCTGTCAATGGTTATGGGGTCTATTCACAGGCTCAAAAATAA